CCCCCACCCTCCCGTAATTTCCACTACCTGGGTTCTGTAATTAAATAATAAGTTAGAGATTGAAGAGTTAAAGTCACCTGCAAGTTGCATCCCAAATTATATGACACAAGAAAATGAATCAGTCCCCAAATTGATAGCAAATTAACGTAAGATGTATTTCCATACTGAATCAAACTAGTTTTTCAGGATCCATTTGTAATGGTCACTTTCAGGTATACTGGTCAGTACACATTTGACTAGGAGTGAAAGTCTTGATAACGTAAACTAATAACAATATAGACTCCCCCCCGCCCAGACTCGTGCCAGCGGGCCTCGCATCACGCTGGATCTCACCTACAGCGTGGTTCTCAGCTGCGACTGCACAGATTTGCCAGGGGAGGTTTGAAAAATTTCTGATGCTCAAGTTGCCCCTGAGGCGAATCAAATCAGATTCTCTGTGGGTGGAACCTAGGCATCAGCATTCTTATAAATTTCCCAGGAGATTCTAATATGCAGCAAAATTTGATAACCAGTGAAGCAGAATAGCTCAGTCAATAAATTTTCAAGTAAACTTGCTGTAGCATTTTGGTTTAAAATGGGCAGTTTTTCATTTTTGTCCATATTGAGAAACACCTGTTTCTCATTTCCAACTCTTCTGTAGAAATCTCAACAGAAAAGAAGCTACTCCTTTTAAAGGCAAATCAAATGGAAAAGGTAGAGGAAATCTCGTGGCGGAGACCTTTCTGCGTGTCTGCGTGGCTCATGAGAAACTCCTCAACGGCCTTCCTCGCCCATCCACAGTGGAAGGTTCTCGTGGCCGTCGAACCAACCTGGGCCACTGGGAATCCCGTCTGGATTTCTGAATTGAAACTGAGAGCTAACATTTCTGTGTGGTTGGGGTGTGGCTGTGGAATGGCCGAGTGTTCTGGCAGGTGGACTGAGTAGCTGAGGACATTATACGGAGAGAGGAGAGAGGAGAGAGGAGAGATGGGCAAAATGAATCAGAGGTAATCATGCGTCTAGATTCCCGGGGTCGACACCTGTCATCTCTGCCTGCCACGTCTCCCTCTCCATTTCGTTAACAGAGTCCTCTTCTCTGCCAGGACCATCTCAGTCCCCTCCCATACGGGCTGGGGATGACTGACAAGTCAAGCCTACCAGCGTCTTGCTCCAGGAGCAGAGACTCCAGGCAGAAAAGGTGGTGCTGTCATTTTGGTGACTATCATCAGGAGAAAGTGTTGGTTCCTGCGACGAGATCCCCGGGCTGCCCTGATTCCTGTGCCTCCTGGCGTCTGATCGTTCATCAAGCCTTTGAATTCTGGAATCAAGCGTGTATGTTGCTTGCAGTTCAGTTTTCTATAGTTTTCTTGTTCTAGCTCAAATCCATTTGGGGGCTTTGTAGCATTCTGTTTTGGGGTTCATGAGGCACTCTCGTATCCTTAAGTTTTTTTTAGCTTATGATGTTTTTGATATTTGTAACTACACATCTTAACTAGTGCAGACTTTTAACGGATTCTCCGATTTACGTGGATGTTCCTGAGACCGACTAAAGCAGGAACAAGGCCTTCTAAGCCCTACTCCAACCATCAAGGTCATAATCAAGATAACCCGACTATTTTATCATTCTGAATGCTTTCTGAAGCTCCAGTGATTTATTTGCATTTTGTAAGCATAAAGGTCTCGGAGAGAAATTCATAACAAAGGTATACTTTGTGAACAATAAGATTAAAAGCTTATCATACACAAACATGGTTCTAAATAATGTATGATCCTTTGAAAAGGAGCCCAAATCTACTCCCAAAAAAAGAGCTCTTATTTCCTTTTTCAAACAACATTAAATAAAATTATAGTACTGCCATCAAACCCGACTGCAAGGATTGCAAACCCAATACTTTTTCATTTCCAATGGTACTCTTCTTTATTAAAAAATCTTTATTAAATAACAAAATATGCCAGCAAATATAATACGTACTTCCTTGAGCTCAGTACCAATAATACTTGGCACACAATCCAAGGCCGTCTAGTCAAATTCAGGAAGCACACAGGTTCTTCCCTGTGATGCAGCAGGGAGAGTTACAGCGACAGAACCTTGGAGACCAGAGGAAGCCTCCCCGATGTCTCTAGTCCCAAGTCACAGAAGTGGTGAGGTGTCTGGGGTGTTCACATGGCTGACTTCTTGTTAAATCTGGATCCATGGAGCTAGGTTTGGATCATATTATTAAAATTCAAAGATAATTGGTTAAAAAGAAAAAAAGCAAAAGCAAAGCACAGTGCTAAGCAGCTTAAGTGATTAACAATGTTGTGATCTCTGGCAGACTCTGGATGAACTATATGAAATGGAACCAGTGGGGCCAGTGCCAATACAATGCAATCATAACGTCTGACCAGTTCACAACGTTTCCTTTTCTAAGAGTCTAAGAAAAGGTAAATATTACCTAGGAATATTCTGGTAAAGAAAGTGGGGTAAATAAAAGAAGCAGTTTGAAAGGTATTCTTCTGACCATCATACTTTATTTTTAATACAAATAGGTAATAAAAGGTACCCGAATATCTTTGAAACAAGAATATATTTTCTATATACCAAGCCATCATTTACAGATTAACACTGCAAAAATTCTGAATGAATAACTCTTAATTTTTTTTTTACATAAAATTATACGAAATAAACAAAATGATATGTAGGGTGAGAACCAAAATTTAAGAACCAATTCGAAGTTCTAAAATCTTGTCTGTGTGTTAATTCCTTCAAAGTTCCAAAAAGTCACCCACGTCTACCAAAAGAACGTAGGTGTTCTTAACGTCGAACATCATTTAGGAAAGAAATTCACTTCTCTCAGTTACTTCTGATTCTGCAGCCTGCCCGGCACACACTGTGGTGTCACCGGTCGGGACTTGCTGTCCTGCGCTGCCCGGGCCCGGCGTCCTTGGCGCTGGAAGGAGGGGTCACACCAGCTCGTAGTATTTCCCAGTCTGGGGGTCAAAGTAGCAGTTCAGACACGGGTCGTACAGAAGGGTCAGCACCTCCTCGTCTTCTTCGGCGCTCAGGTCTTCTTCACCTGCGGGGACGGAGCCACGGACAGGTTAGCCACCGGCCTGGCCCTGGGGTCCTAACTGCAGCATCACGGGGCCACCAAACAGGACTGCCACCCCTCCCGGGAGACTGGCTCTCTGGGGGCAGAATGCGGTGCTGGAACGTACAGCATAAAAAGACTACCAAGCAAACACGAATTAAAATAAAATGTTTAGAACACACAATACGATATACAGATGATATATTATAGAATTATACACCTGAAACCTATATCATTTTATTAACCAATGTCACCTCAATAGATTCAATAAAAATTAAAAAAAAAATAAAATGTTTAGAAATATAAATAAGATACATAAAGCATAGAACACATGTGGAAACACAGTGTCAGGCGATCTGTAATTTTATCAGTGGTGGGAAGGCCTGTGAACTTTGCTGGGAATAGGAACATGGCTTGAGATTTTTTGTTGCTGTTGTGACAGCCATTTGGATGGTTTGAAGAGAACTCCTACTGCCTAAGTTATTAGCAAGGTTTGGCTGGTTCCCAACAAATGGCATGGAATGAAAAAAAAAAATTGTTTTACTAAGATGTTTTACTAAGATGTTTCCTGTGTACCTTTTGTGTGCCCAATGTTGTGCCAAGTACTTGGGCACATGACGCCATCATCAGCGAGTGCTTCCTGAGTATTTCTGAAAATCCATGTAATAGGAATTCAGAGGCTGGGAGGGCAAGACCTCCCTGAGCTGGAGAAAATCAGAGCCGGCTCAGGTAGGAGGGGTGATTAAGACAACACTCCCGTCTTCCTTACCACAGCCTATTAAGAACTAAAGAAACCAAACTTTTGGGTCTCGAGCTCACCAGGGGCACAGGGCAGGGCTGGCATGTAATAGAGGCTCAATAAATACTGAATGTTTTTTGAAAGGGTGACTAGATGATTGTGAAACAAAGACTGTGAGCTTAAGTGTCACTGCCCAGAGTAAGGGCAGGTGGTGGTAATGGCGGGACTTCATTTTAAGCTTCTCCCTGAAAAATCAGATCAAGCTGGTGCATGGACTTTGTGAGGACAGTGACAAAATAGATTAAGACCCAGGAAGTAGAACCAAGATGGTGAAGTGTGGGTCCGAAGCTGCACCACAGCCATTCCTCCGCCCATCCTCCTGCTCAGGGTGATTCTTCCCTGCACCAGGCACTGAGCGAGGTGTTGGGGATGTGATGACACGGGAGCCAGGCCCTGTGTGCTGTGTGCAAGTGACCGGGGAAACATGCAGTCAGCAGACTCCCTTGTGCATGTAGTTCTGCATCCTCAGAGAGCAGAGTTTAACAGGAATGACTGCGTCCAGCTTGCTCACTGACATCTGGTGGAGCCCCCACTGGTTTAGAAAGCAAATTCTCATTTGACCCCCACCATCCTGTGAAATAGGCAGGAATTACTGTGCCCAATTTACGGATGAGGAACCAGGGTCTGCAAAGTTAAATAACTCATCTGAGGTCACTTGGTGAGTTGAGACAGAATCAGGGATGAACTTGGGTTTCCAGGCTCTCAGTTCAGTGCCCTTAAATCACACTGGCTTGCGGTTTTATTAAGAAGGCGGTGTAACACATTCAATTGGGAGCTATTGTGTTACGGGAATTTAAGCATGGAAATGAGTAAAAAAGTCCTAAAGGTGCCCTACATTAAAAAAATCAGATTTGGAAACAAAAGAGATCTGATTTGTCATATTTCAAAAACCACTGACAAAGATGAGAGAGTCCATGTGGGAGAGCGGAGGTAAACAGCTCAATAAGCCTGAAGGCACTGGGCTCATTAAATGCAGAAAAGAGGCGGCTTGATGAGCTGACAGCAGCCTCTGGCTTCCAGTATATAAAGGGTGGCAAATGAGTGAGAAGTTAAGAAGACCCTGTGGGGTTCCAGGAGAAAGCAAGAGGATCACCAGGTGAAAGTTACAAGGAGCTAGATTTTGGCTCAGCAAGAGGAAGAATTTTCTAAACGTTTGAGCTGACCGGGGGTGGAACGCGGGCTCTGGGGCGGGGGAGCAGGGGCCGGGGCAACCGTTTGCGCCAGGTTCTGTAGATGAGCCCTACATAGGACGGGAGCCAGATCCAACTGTCCCTGTGGTGCCTTTGATGAGTTTCTGTGACTCTTGGCTGCAGTGGCTTATGTCCTTGAGTACGACAGGCCTAAGTTAACAGCCACATTAACAGTGGTGGCTGGCTGACCTGAGCACTTGAACAGTTTCTTACTGAGAACAGGAGCACGGAGAAGGCAGGCTGCCTTTCCTTTATTTTCTGTTGTTACCTTAAGAGTGGCCCCCAGGGCCCTGCCTGCACCTGCTTCCTCCGTATGGCAGAGTTTGGGAAGGCTTTTCAAGTGGCTGTTTTATATCGAGATGACCCTCTTTAGGTCACTTCTGCACATCAAAGGAGAGTATGCATGTCTGTCACTTTCAGATAGTCATCCGTCACCTCTTTCATATTCGGACTACTTCAGAGAACAGAACCAAATCAGTTTATCGGTAATTAACTACTGTGTGCCTGCTACGTGGTTGAGCAGCCCAGTTGTAGAGGTGACACACACACACAAAACAAAAGCAGCTACTACAGATTAACAAGGAGTTAGACTGGGAGTCACCAGTGCAGAGAGGTGAAGAGCACCCTGGGCTGTGGAATCCACCCAACCTTGTGGGGCGGGGAGGGATGGGGACCCTGCTGCTCCCTGCCCGGGTCATCTTAGGCTGCTTACAGGTCATTTCACCTCACGGGACCTTCCTTTGCTCATTTATAAAAAGGGAGTAACAATGCCTATGTCATAGGGCTTGGTGGAAGACAACTGGACAGTGGGTAATACACATTGCAACCACAGTGCACTCAGTAGTTGTTCAGTAAGTTATCATTATTATTACTACTGAAGGTAACAATAAAATAAATCATCAACTACAGGCTATGATGCTTTTAGTAACTCAAAACGGGCACCGATGACGCTTCAAGTATGAGAAAAGCCTTCATAGAGGCAGCATGACTTTATACAATGGAGTCGGACTCGCCTGGTCCATATCCCACTTCTACCATGTCCCAGCCGTGGGACATTGGGAAAGTTCACTACTCTGAGCCTCAGTTTCCTCATCTGCACAGTAAGGACAGTAATAGTACCTGTTATAGCACCTGTGAGAACTAAAGAAGGTAACACTCAGTGCACACACACAGTAAGGATTCAATAAATATTGTTATTATAACCATCATCACAGAAAACGTAAGATATCTGAGACATGTGAGGAGTATGTTCATTTAGACCTTATTTCCCACCCCCAACTATAGCTGTTTGATTTTTTACTACCAAAAAAAAAAAAAAAATAGTTGGCTTGAATGAAACATAAAGCCCCCAACTAGTTTTAAACAGGACAGTATGATGAATTCATCTTTAAATAAAAACAGTCCTTATACCAAAGATTATATATTTTTCAAAAAGTAAAACGAATTTTCCATCAGGTGTAGTGCTAAAGCCACACATCACTGATTATGAGTCAAACTAGCTCAGAGACCTACCATCGGATGTCTTGTTTTCCTGCCATCAACACATCGGGGGAAATTTTGTCATCCGGCACATAAGAGTTACACCCTATTTAATTGTTTAGTGCATTCTGTGCCTGTACTTTCCAAAAAGGAAAAGTTTTAAGCTGATGCTATTTAATTAGAAAACTCAATAGTTTTTATAACCATCAGGAAGTTTTCAGGATGACAGTAACCGTTGCAATGAGCCAAGGGTCTTTGTCACCCGACTGCCAAGGGATGGAGGTGGATGCGATCCTTAGGAGAGGCTCTGCTACTTAATGCAGACAGGCTGACGCAGTAACTGCCATAGAAATGCACTCATTCCCACACAGAGCACTGCAGAGCTCGGACTCTTGCATTATAACCATGGGATTAAGGCAGGCTTTGTGGGTTTTAGTACTAAAGCCTTAAATGGATGAATCTTAAAACTCTATCAACAGTGGCATTCATACAAAAATTGGGCGACATTATGTATAATTTTACATCGAAATAAGTGCTTTAAACTTACATAAAAGGTTTTGTTTTCATTACAACTTAATTTTCAAAGCGTCCAACTTACATCATTTTGCCATTGTAATCCCTACGTAATGAAATTATAATATCATTAAGCAATTGCCACTATGATGTCAAGCAACGGGAAATGTTTTGAAAGGTAATTATTGTGCATGGGTATGGGGCAATTTTCAATTATATTCTTGGATAGTGCAGAGTTTGTTTTTCCCCTAAATGGGAAATTGCTCTATTTAAAGACTGGCTGCAGAAACTCTAAATGGACAAATTAACAGATAAAACCATCCTCTCCTACCAGACTGAGAGCATCTGGTCAGGGGTCCAAATTACATTTTTACTCTTCTTCACACAGTAAAGCCATTTCTAGTGAAATAAAATTGCCTTTCAGACAATAATCTATTTGCAAACTTTCAGTTTCATCTATGTTGAAATTGGTTAACAGCAATAACAAGAAAAACCAGTGGAGCCAGACTGAACACAGCATCACCTGCCCTCCCCTCGGTTACAGCAGAACAGGTGAACACTCCCTCCAGGTCACCTTTGGAAAGTCAATTAATACAAATGCTTAATTATCTCTATTTAATGCATTTTAACTGTAGATCATAGAAAACCTATATGCACCAGCTAAGTCTTCAAGATTAAAAATAAATGATGTGGCACCAGTTTATCAGATTTAAAATCTCTGAATCAAGACACTGTACTTGATTTTCGATTTTCTGACGCTGCCATCTGGAATGTTTTGTAAAAAAGTTAATGCCTTTTCCCTCTTATAGATCCTGAGACCTGATTGACTGTATTTTTATGTGCATACTAATACACTATTGTTCAAACAATTCAATGGGGAGGGAGGATCGCCATTGGGAAGAGCCAGCCTTAGGATCGATAAAGATGACATTTTAGATAAGATTCTTCTGAGAACCAGGTGCTTGCAAACTCCACAACCAACGTATCTCGCAGGCGGGCAAAAT